GGAGAACCATGAGGGGCTACTGTGAGCTGGGCTTTTACTAGCCCGGAATCTGAAAGGATAAGAGGAGGGAGAAATCACCAGAACCAAGAAGGAGAGAAAGTTGGGAAGAGTAGGCTGCTTTGAGAGAACTGTGATTTCCTCTCAGGGGATGCAGCCAGCCTGACGGTGGTCTCGCTGGGAAGAAACCAGAGAAATAAATACCCCGGCTCCATTCTTCCCCCTCCTTATTTCCTGCTAGGCTCCCCATCAGCTAAACTCAAACAGAAGCCAGAGGCACAGGAGGCTATGGCTGTAGCCCTTCAGATCAGTACTCCTGAGGCCCAGGGCAGATGGGGAAGGATGGAAAGCAGATCTGGAGGGGAAAACTGAATATAGGTGACAAGCATGGTTTCACTGATGTCCTGCTAGCACCTTAAACTTAACATCTTCCTAACTAACCACAGTATCCTTTCTTCACTAACCCAACTGTCCTCCTGAGTTCCTTAGTTACCTTGGTTAAAGGCACCACTACCTTTCAGTGCCATCCTCAAGGCCACCTCCCCAGTCCTGCACATGCACACATGCACATACACACATCAAGTCTCTCTCTTCCCCTGGATCGTGAACCCCTGTAGGTAGAGCCCATGAGCCTGGACTCAGCAAATGTCTAATGAATTATAACAGATAACATTTATCGGGCACTACCGTATCTGGCATAATGTTCAGTATTTCATTTGGATTGTCTTATTTCTTCTCTCAACCTAATAGCACCTACTCCTTGAAGTAGGTCCTATTATTATCCCCATTTTACAGATTAATAAACTGAGGCTAGGAAAGATTAAATAACTCACCCAATGTCACATTCTCAAAAGAGGATATCTGACATGGGAGCCTACCCTCCAGCACTATGACCTTTGTATGTCCTCATTCAGGGTTGAATGAACCATACACTGGGATAGCACAGTGCTTTGCTTATTGAAAAAAAGAGTCAGATGTTGGTCAAATGACATAATTCAGAAAAAGCAAGGGTTGGAACTAGGGTTTGAACTTGTTGCTGAATTTTAAATGATACAGGGGGAAAAGAGGGCATGCCAGGCAAGAAGGCCAAGGAATAGCTAGCAGGGATTATTGTTTGTTTGTGGGCTTGTGTAGAAAAGGCCTTGACCACATCACAGAAAAAATATTCAGAACCAATGAGATAAAATTGAGGCCAGGTACAGTGGCTCACACCTGTAATCCCAACACTTTGGGAGGCCGAGGCAGGCGGATCACCTGAGGTCAGGAGTTCGAGACCAGCCTGACCAACATGGTGAAACCCTGTTTCTACTAAAAATACAAAAATTAGCTGGGCTTGGTGGCAGTCACCTGTAATCCCAGTTACTTGAGAGGCTGAGGCAGGATAATTGCTTGAACTAGGCTGGCAGAGGTTGCAGTGAGCCGAGACTGTGCCATTGCCCTCCAGCCTGGGCAACAAGAGCAAAACTCTGTCTTGGAAAAAAAAAAATGTATATTGAGGAGGACATAAGGGAAAACAGATCACGGAGGGTCTTGAAGTCCATGAGCTGTTGAGCCTCCCTATAGAGGAAAGTGAAAGTTGTGTTTAGGGTAGATTAATTTGCCATTTACAAAGTATATAAGATGGATTAAAAGTGGAAGATTATGTGCCGCTAGAAGGACAAGCTGGAAAGTTGTTCTGATGGTCCAGAAACAAATCAGAGGAGGTCTGGATTAGAGTGAGGCAATGAAAATGAAGAATAAACATCAGATTCCAGAAATACTTCAAAGCAAAATTACCTACAGCACATACAGACTGATTGCCATGGGAATGAAAGAGGCTTGGACTTCGGTTAAGATGACTTCAATTTCTAGCCTTTGCTGGGTAGTCTTGCCATCATCGACGGAGAATTTGGAGTTAGATGGGAAAGAAAGGATTAGCAAAAGTTCAATTTTAGATATATTGAGTTTGAGGTGAGGGCCTAAGTGACCTGTTTGTCATTCCCAATTTTGTCAATTTAGAGATCTAGTCTTACTATACTAAAAGACGCAATAGTTGGGGGTCATATTATGGTTTTCCACATTTTTACCTTATAAAAAACTTCTATTTCTTAAGTTTTTGCCTTTTCAATTCTTCTGTTAATTTTCAGTACACATCTAGCCTCTGAATACATCCCTTCCTGCTGTGATGTGTGTGCTGGGGCGGGGAGCAGGGTAGAGCTTGGATATCATAACACACCAGGGTACTGGAGCCCTGTGATTCAGGACTAACATACTGTGCCTCTAATTGATAATATTTTCTGCTTCACAGTAGCTGAGCTGAATTGCACAGACTTGGAGAAGTAAATGAAACAAATGTTTTATGGAACACCAGGCAAACCATTTAAATCTATACTATGCTATGTTTTTTGCTTCCTTGTCGACGATGGAATGTAAGTGGTGTCTGTGAGCCACAGTGATTTCCTTTCATGTTTGCAAATAATACCACAAATGATATTATATCCTTGCTCTGACTTATAAGAGACCTAAACGGCTGAGTTGACAAAACAGGAAAGTTAAATCATTTATAAGGATGTAAACAGCCAGATTTTCACCAACACTATCTTCAAAATGCTAGAATAAAAAAGGAGTTCATAGAAACCATAAATGTTGGTCTTTTGATCAGAGACAAAAATTAAAAGATAAAACCCACCCCCCCTTTTTTTTTTTTACTAGAAAGAATACCTCTCTGGCTTGGTCTACAAAGTTTTGCCACCTCTAAAATATGTAGATGAGCCCAAAGTTTAGAAAACCTTAAAAATTGGAATTACACATAAAAGAGCTTTTAGAGTTTGACTATGAAAATACTGTATAGTATTTACAGTTTACTTTAAAATTTTATCTAAAGAACAAAGACTAAATGTTTAGGTAGATATCTGCAGATACTTACGTTGTTTAAAACAGCAGTGTAAATAAAGGACTTAAAAGATGGCAGGAAAAGTTTTTACTGAGAAGTCATAAAAATAGGTAAAGAGGCCAGGTGCAGTGGCTCACGCCTGTAATCCCTGCACTTTGGGAGGCTAAAGCAGGGGGAATGTTTGAGCCTGGGAGTTTGAGACCAGCCTGGGCAGCAGGGCAAGACCCTCTCTCTAAAAATATTAAAAATTAGCTGGGCATAGTGGCACGTACCTATAGTTCTAGGTGCTTGGGAGGATGAGGTGGGAGGATCACTTGAACCTGGGAAGTGGAGGTTGCAGTGAGCTCTGATCTTGCCACTGCACTCCAGCCTAGGCAACAGAGCCAGACTGTCAAAAAAAAAAAAAAGAAAAAGAAAAAGAAAAAAAAGGGTAATGAGAAAGGAGCTGCAGGTATATGTGACAAATTTATGCTATAAAATAGCATAGCATTTTTTTTTTAATGTGGTACAATAACACTTTCACACATTACCGTGCCTTGGGACTCAGTATTTTTGTTCAGTTCTGGTTTGTGCAGCAAAACTGTTCAAATAAGAAGGGTTGTTGTCCTGGTGTAATTAGTACTAGTATCCTCTTTCATTTGTGTCCAGATTTGGGTCAAAAGGAATTTGAGGAACAGTAACAAAAACAAAAAAAAATTTTAAGTGTCCAAATTTAGACAACATGTGGTCATCTGCACACAGGTATCATGATGCAATATGCATGACTTTCAAAATCCAGTGCTTTATCAACTTTAGTTCATTCAAAAAGTATTCATTTTATATGTTATTTACCTCCTATCTACAAGGAATGATTGAGATACAAAGATGAAAGTATTGTTCCTGCCCACATGGAGTTTACATAATGCAATGTGAAAACTGCACCTGTAAACAATAAACACGTTTTAGTTCTTTCCTGGGTGAAAACCATACAACTGTTAACTGAATGATTGGGTTAGCCTGACAATATAATGGTGATGGCACCTTGTTTTTGTTTTGTTTTGTTTTCGCTTTTAAAATGAAGGACTCTGGTATTTCACTCTTGAACAGTAATTTCTCTGTAGCTGTGGTTTTGAGATTCAGGGTTTTTCTATTTGTTAGGGAGAAAAAAGAGCCCTGAGCGAGTTTGATGCCAGATTGCCTGGATTCAAATTCTGACTGTGTCATGTCATAGACGACTGGTCTTGGGCTTCCTATTTATTCACCCTTTATTCCTCAGTGTCCTTATTTATAAAAATTAAGGCAATCGGTGCCTGCTTCATAGTTTTTTTTTTCAGGATTAAAAGTGTTAACATATGAAAAGGATTTAAGAATAGCACCTGGCGCATGGTAAACACTTCTTATTTAAACATATATGTTTATACATTGTCTTAGTGAGCTCTGGCTGCTATAACGAAACGCCATACACTGGTTACCTTAAACAGATGTTTATCGTTTATAGTTATGGAGGCTGGAAGTCCGAGACCAGGGTGGAGACAGGGTAGGGCTTTATTTGTTTAGGCTAAACTAGAGAATGAAAACTGTTCTAAACAGTAAGGAGAAGGTATTAGATGTTACTTAGCATTTTGCTAAGAGTTATGAAAACGAAATGAAGGTCCTTGTTTAAAAGATGCTAGATTTTATCTGGCAAGATCAGGCTTAAAACTTTTATTCAAAAGATCACAAAGATGCTAAATATTTCTTAAATTGAAGAAATCAACTCAGGAGCAGGGTTACCAACAAGGTCAGTTTTTAATGCTGACAAATGTTTTGTTTTAAAGCAGATTCATTTTAGTATGTTTATTAAAGTGAATTTACTCTTATTTATTTTATGCTACTTTAATTATTTTCTCTACCACTCTCAGAAGGATAACACCCATAATTGTTCAGGGATCACCTCTGTGTAAGATTTCTGTCAGCTTATACCTTTGTTTCTTAAAACAATTTTCAACCCACTGAGAGGACACAGAGGACCTTGAAAGATGGACTGATTTCAGGGCTGTGGCAGGAAATGAAGAGGAGTCTGGGACATCTCTCTGTGCTGAAAAGCAAGATTCAGGAACAGGGGCAAGACATTGGTAAAGAAACAAAAAGAAAGAAAGAAAATACAGCAAAATCTTGGTAATTGTTTAATCTGGGTGACAGGTGTATGGGGTTCATTTTATTCTTTTCTTTTGTATTTGTTTGAATTTTTCAATTAGAAAATAAATGTTTACCTAACTTAGGACTTCTTTAAAGCAAAGCAACACAAAGTCATGCATTCTCAATGAAAGTAGACAACACAGATAAACACAAAGCAGTGATAATTCTATCGCTCAAGAGATAACTACTCAACTACTGGTAACAATTCGTAATGCTTTCCTGACATCATTCATTACATATACAATTTCTTAAAAAATGATTTCTTCTCTTTCAATTTCTCATATCTTTCCTGGCCTAAAAGCACTACTTTGATTACGCTATTATTCTATTCTATAATGCACCAGGGCATTCCATAATTACCAAATACAGTCCAAGTTTCTTCCAACCTTCTTTTCATAATCCTTTCTGTGACCTTCTGTCTCCGTAGACGTCTCTGCTCCAGCCACACTGGATATCCTTGGATTCAATCCAGATTGGTTTCTGCACAAATGTCACAATTTATAATCTGAATGAACACTCAAGACCTTTAGAATAATGTATTTTGGGGTTTCAAAGTTTAGAATTATTTATACAACTAGCAACTTGTCCTAGCACAGAGCTTAATTTTTGTGAAAAGGCCAAGCTGTTACATAAGCATTTTGCCGAGATCCATGAAAAGAAATCAAGAGAATGCACTTCTGCCTCTAAGGGATGACATGAAAACTAAAAGAAGGTGGGAGAATGTCTCTACAGGTCACAATGCTTCCGCAGTATTTGTTTCTGCTCTGGTGGTGATGGAAGCAGCAACAGCATGCTTCCGGTTTAGCTGAGTACAGGCAGTATAAGGTCCCCAAAGGTCTGGGCATCACATTCTTCTAGAACTGGGAATTTTGGCCCCTTAAATAAGCTTGTCCTTTGTTCAACTATGCTGCATTCGCTGCACACTACTTTTACAACTAGGAAAGGTTGTAATTTTGGTTATAAAAATATAACTACGTTGTTGTTTCTAAACTTCAACAAATCTGTATGTCAACTGTTTATACTCTTGTTTTTCTACTCTTACGACTAGAAGGAATCTTATTCATGATAGAGGAGTATTTTCCTCATGTTTTTTACCAAACCTTTAAAAATCAGCCAACTTGACACATACATTCAAAACTGAACTCCTGATAATTTCCCAAGTCTTACTTCCTATTTATATTGGCTGTTGCTTTATTAATATTCTGTAAAACTTTGTTAAGATTCACGTTAAAATAACTTCCTTTTGATATAGATTAACCTCCTAGATCAAGATAAACATGGGCTAGAACCTCCTCTGCAAGTCACCTGAAACCTAGAAATCAGTTGAATCCCAAATCTCTCCAAAACCAACGTTGATGGAATTTCTGCTAATAGGTCTTTTTCTAGTAAGTTCAACAGGTCCATTTTTAGCTTCAGATAGGTAGCATGCTGCTTTGGTGTGATCATGTTTTTCCATCCGTGTTGATTTATCCTTCATCTTCTCTAAAGCCAGTTACACGAGGTAAACTCTAGTATCTTACCAGCATAAACTACCTCTAAGAAACAGAGAATTTCCTAGCCTGAGTATCTCATATCCGAAATAGTCTGATTTTAAAAGGTCAGTCTATGTTAAACACATTGAACTCAGGCTTGGACGAAATTCAAGACTAGTAGATTTGGGAGTTTTATTTATTCAGTACACTATCTGTAAGACACAGGGCTAGGTAATGCGGGGACATGTAGAAGTGGAGGTATTGATTATTTTTCTTTTTCCTCTACCACCTGCTCTTCCCTCTCCTCCAACTCCTCCCTTTCACTCCACTTCCCCCTCTTTCTTGAACATAATGTTTTCAGTTTCATGTAACATATATATACTTAGTGAAAATACTACTACTAATACTACTACTACTAATTCACAGTGCAAAGGGCATTTTGTGAAAAAACATTTCTCCTTTTCAGTCTCCTAGTCACACTGCCCAGAGACAACTACAGCCATCAGTTCTTATACATCCTTCAGAGGAACATGGGCATGTACATGCAAATATGTATATCCACTATTTTCCCCTTTTTATTCCAAATAGGAGCAAAAAGTTCCGTACCTTTAAAATATATTTTAGGAAATCTTTCCACATCAGCATGTGAAGCTCTACTTCATTCTACATATTAGTCCACTGAATGTATACATCACAATGCATTTAACCAGCCTCTATTCTAGACATTCTCTACTACATGCAGTGCTACAATGTGCATGCTAGTATGTAAGTCTTTGAAAATTCCTAGTAGTGAAACCGCAATGAAAATTTAAAAATTTTAATGCTGGCATGTTGCCCACCAAAGAACTATACTGATTTATAGTCTCATTTCAGCAACATATTATCAAACTTTTTGATCCTTGCTAACGTGTTAGGTAAAAAATGGAATTTTATTATTATTTTAAAATGAGGCTTTTTTATATGTTTAAAATCAGTTTTTTTCTGTAATCTCATTTAGCCTGTTTTTCCACTGGATTATTTATTTTGTTTTGCTTGCTTATTGATTTATAAGGGTTCCTTGTATAACAAGAAAATTGCCTCTGTCAACAAATATTATAAATATTTGTTCCAAGATTGTCATTTTTACTTATTTATTTCATAGGTCCAAGAAATAAAATGTATGTCATTACCATAAACTTTGTTTATGGTAATTATTTGGCCACATACACATTTAAATTTTTTGTAATCAAATTTAATAAACTTTCCTTAAGATTATCCTGTGTTCTGTATCTTGATCAGAAAGACTTTCTTCCTCCAATATTACAAATTAATTTTATCATCTTTTTTCTAGTACTCTTTGGGTTTTTTATATTTAAATATTTGATCATCTGAAATTTATTTTTAAATAAGAAATATGGTAGGAATCAAGGATCAACATTTTTTTTCATGGCTAACCAGGTGTTCTGTAATCATTTAATCCATTATTTCCTCATTTTAAAACTCATTTAAAACATTTTAAAATACTATTCATTTTAAAAACTCTCTCCATTGGCATATATATCTACATATACATCTTATGTAGTAAAGTGTATAATCTTAAGTGTACAACCAGATTAATTTCCACATACGTTTATACCTCTGTAAAACACACCCAGATCAGATATAGAACACTGTCAGAACCCTAGGAAGGTCCCTTGTGCCCCCTTCAGTCAATACTCCGTCAAAGGAAATAATTACTCTGACCTGAATCACCATTTACTAGCTTTGCCCATTCTTGAAATTCATATCCATGGAATCACATAGTGATCTTTGTGTCAGGTTTCTTTTGCTTAAAAATTATGCCTGTGATAGTTATCTTTTTGTTTTGAAACAGGGTCTCACTCTGTAACCTAGGCTGCAGTGCAGTGGTGTGATCATGGCTCACTGGAGCCTCAACTTCCTGGGCTCAGGTGATCCGCCCATCTCATCCTCCCAAGTAGCTTCAAGACTACAAGCACGCCCCACCATGCCCGGCAAATTTTTTTGTATTTTTGTAGAGATTGGGTTTTACCTGGTTGCCCAGTCTGGTCTCGAATTCTTGGGCTCAAGTGATCTGCCTGCCTTGGCCCCCCCACAGTGCTGGGATATTTGTCCATTTCATTACGTGCAGATTAATTTTTTTCTTACCTTACTGTGTGGTATAGTATATACTATTGTAAGAATATCCCAAGATTTATTTAACCATTCTAGTCATAATGAACACTTGGACTGCTTCCAGGTTCAGGCTATTATATTTCTCGTATAGATGTTTTAGAGGATCTACGTATTCATTGTTGTTGGATAGATACCCAGAAATAGAATTGATGGGTCATAGAGTACACATATGCTAACTTTAGTAGAATCCACCAGTTTACCAAAGTGGTTGAACCATGTTATATTCTTATTGTATGGGATTTTCCAACTCTACATTTTTTGCTAACACTTAACAGGGTCAGTCCTTTTAATTGTAACCATTTTGATGCAGTTGTAATGGTGATCATTGTTTCTTAACCTGGGTATTTTGACATTGTGTTTGACTATGAAATGTCTGAATACAACTACCATGATATAGGAATGAAAGCTAAATGAGAAGCAAAAACATCTGAATTCAAGTTTTGATTCACAATTGAGAAACCTGTGAGCGACTATAGTAAACTTTCTGACCCATTACAAGTAGGCATATAATGATTACCTCATAGGATTATAGATTGAATTATTTAAAAATCATGAAGTTTCAATTACCTAGTATAGCTAAAATGTCTTAGAATACTTGTGTAAACAAGTATTTATTGAGATCCTTCTATGACCTAGGAACTCTTCTAGACATCAGGAACAAATCAGTGAACAAAACACAGACCCCTTTCTCTCTTGAAACTTACATTCTAGAGTAGAGACATACAAAATAATAGTTGTAGGGTGTCCAGAATTGGTGGGTTCCTGGTCTCACTGACTTCAAGAAAGAAGCCACAGACCCTCGCCGTTAAGTGTTACACTTCTTAATGATGGTGTATCCAGAGTTTGTTCCTTCAGACGTTCAGGTGTGTCTGGAGCTTCTTCCTTCTGGTGGGTTCATGGTTTTGCTGTCAGGAACAAAGCTAGAGACCTTCGTTGTGAGTGTTACAGCTCTTAAAGGCAGCGCATCTGGAGCTGTCCGTTCTTCCCAATGGGTTCGTGGTCTCGCTGGCTTCAGGAGTGAAGCTGCAGACTTTCATGCTCAGTCTCACAGCTCTTACAGGCTGTGGACCCAAAGAGCAAGCAGCTGCAACACTTACTGCAAAGAGCAAAAGAACAAACCTCCCACACTATAGGAGACCCCAGCAAGCTGCCGCTGGCTGGCTTGGGCAGCCTGCTTTTATTCCCTTATCTGGCCCCACCCACATCTTGCTGATTGGTCCATTTTAAAGAGAGCTGATTGGTCCACTTTACAGAGAGCTGATCGGTCCGTTTTGACAGAGTGCTGATTGGTGCATTTACAAACCTTGAGCTAGACACAGAGTACTGATTGGTGTATTCACAAACCCTGAGCTAGACACAGAGTGCTGATTGGTGCATTCACAATCCTTGAGCTAGACACAGAGTCACAGAGTGCTGATTGGTGCACATACAATCCTCCAGCTAGATATAAAGGTTCTCCAAGTCCCCATCCGGTTCAGGAGCACGGTTGGCTTCAGGCAGTGGATCCTCCACCAGGGCACAGGCCCAGCCGCGCCAGTCCTAAGCCACACCTGTGCTCTTCAGCCCTTGAGCTGTGGATGGGACCACGCTCCATGGAGCAGGGGGCGGTGCCAGTTGGGGAGGCTCAGGCCACGCAGGAGGCCACCACAGGGGGAGGAGCTCAGACACTGTGGTCTGCAGGTCCCCAGGCCTGCCCCGCCAGGAGGCAGCCAAACCCCATGAGAATTTGAGTGCAGCACCGGCAGGCAGGCACTGTTGGGGGACCAGGCACAACCAATGCAGCTGCTGGCCTGGGTGCTAAACCCCTCACTGCCCTGGGGCGGCGGTGCCAGCTGGCCGTTCCATGTGCAGGGCCAGCCGAGCCCGCGCCCCCAGAACTCACACTGGCCTGTGACCGCATCCCTGGTGCCCGCCCGCACCTCCCTCCACACCTCCTTGCAAGCCAGAGGGAGGAGGCTCTGGTCCCAGCCATCCCAGAGAGGGGCTCCCACAGTGCTGTGGCATGGCAGGCTGAAGGGCTCCTCAAGCGCCACCAAAGTGCACGCTGAGGCCGAGGAGGGGCTGAGAGTGAGGGCTGCTAGCACTTTGTCACCTATCAGTAGCACGTGAAATGTATAGTACATTAGAAAGGGGTAAATGCTGTGGACAAAGAAAAGAAAAGCTAGAGAGGGCTGTACAAGGAGGGTTAAGGGTTGGGAGAATGTTGCATTTTGAAATAGGAAGGTCAGAGTACAGGCCATGGAGAAGTGACAACTGATCAAAGAGTTAGAGGTGAGGGAATGGGCCATGCAGATATTTGGGGGAAGAGCACTCCAGGCAGAGGGAAAGCTTAGGCAGAAGCATGCCTGCATGTAGCATGAATTATAAGAAGGCCAGGATAGCTGGGCTGGAGTCAGGTGGGAGAATAGGGGGCAGTAATGAATGAAATCAGAGATAAATGGATAATGGCTGGGGATGAAAATGGTCCACATCAGGTAGGGCCTGTTGGTCATTGTAGGAACAATGGCTTTTACTTAGAGTGAAATGGTAATACAATGCAGTGTTAAGCAAAGACAGACAAGATCTCACTCATTATTTGGAAAGGATCACTGTAACTACTTGTGTCTTAGTCAGCTCAGGCTGCCATAACACAAAACCGTGGACTAAACGGCTGACATGACAGAAATTTATTTTCTCACAGTTTTGGAGGCTGGAAGTCTGAGATCAGGGCAGCGGCATGGCCAGTTTCTGGTGATGGCTGTCGTCCTGGCTTGCAGACAGCTGCCTTTTTCTCTGTGTCATCTCATGCTGGGAGGAAGAGAGCGGGGAAAGAGATGAGATTAGAACTCCACCCTTATCAGCTAATTCAACCTTAATAACCTCCCCAAAACCCTATTTCCACATTGGAGGTCAGGGCTTTATGAATCTGGAGAGGATGCAATTCAGTCCATAGCAGCTTGCAACTTGAAAATTTCAATTTCTTAACTCTTAAACATTCTCAAACACACCAAGGCTGAAAAGGCAAACTTGAAAATTAACCATGTATCGTTTGTATGAATGGTTCTGAAGGCCTGCTGTTGATATAATCTGTCACTTTCTTTGTCCAAGTTGTGCCTGTCAGACTGTGGCTGGACAGTTATTATATATTTAAATCCGCTAAGATTAATTTTGGGTTCTAAGCATAGAAGCATCTCATCAGAACCCATGTTAGCTAGAATGTTACCCTGATTCTGGACTGAAAATCATCTCCCTCCCTCATCCCAAACTCAGAAAGATCACTTTCTATTAAAAAATATTATTGAATTTCAACAAGTTGTAATTATATATATTTATGGGGTACAAAGTGATGTTATGTGTGTGTATATATATACACAATATGTATATAACACACACAGCCACACACATTGGAATGATTGAATCAACCTAATTAACATATCCAACACCTCAAATACTTATAATTTATTTCCTGTCTAACTGAAACAGTGTATCATTTGGCCAACATCTCCCCATTCTCCCCACCCCCCCAGACTTTGGTAAACATCGTTCTGCTTTCTGACTCTATGAGTTTGATTGTTTTATATTCCACATATAAATGAGAACACGTGGTATTTGTTTTTCTGTGCCTGGCTTATTTCACTTAGTATAATGTTCTACAGGTTCATCCATGTTGTCACAAAGGACAGAATTTCCCTCTTTTTACTTTTTAGGGCTGAATAGTATTATCCCATTATATATATATATAGGTATATATATATCACATTTTCTTTATCCATTCATCTACTGATGAACACTTAGGTTGATTCCACATCTTGACTATTGTGAACATTGCTGTAACAAACAAGAGAGTGCAGATATTTCAAATCCTTTGGATATATACTCAGAAGTGGGATTGGTGGATCATATGGTATCATATGGTAATTCTATTTTTCATTTTTTTTGAGGAATTTCCATACTGTCTCCATAGTGGCTATACTAATTTACATTCCTATCAACAGTATACAAGGGTTTTCTTTACATCCTTATCACCAACACTTATTACCTTTCATCTTTTTTTTTTTTTTTTTTTTTTTCCCCAGATAGGATCTCGCTCTGTCTCCTAGACTGGAGAGCAGTGGCATAATCATGGCTCACTGCAGCCTTGACCTCTTGGGCTCAAATGATCCTCCCACCTCAGCCTCCTGAGTAGTTGGGACCACAGGCTCATGCCACAATGCCTGGCTAATTTTTAAAATTGTTTTTTGTAGAGACAGGGTCTAACTATGTTGCCAGGCTGGTCTTGAACTCCTGGGCTCAAGTGATCCTCCCACCGTGGCCGCCGAAAGTGCTGGGATTATGGGCATGAGCCACTACACCCAGCCTCATCTTTTTGATAATAGCCATTCTGACAGGTGTGAGGTGATATCTCATTGTGATTTTAGTTTGCACTTCTCTGATGATTAATGATATTGAGCATTTTTTCACATAGCTGTTGAGCACATATGTGTCTTCTTTTGGATTACTCTTTATTTTTGAATGAAGGCAAATTCAGTACAGACCTTACTTTGATTCCTTTGTAAGTACAGATGCTCCTTGACTTATGATGGGGTTACGTCCTGGTTAAACTCATTGTAATTTGAAAATACAGTAAATTGAAAATGCTTTTAATACACTGAACCTACCAAACATCATAAGCTTAGCATACCCTACCTTAAACATGCTCAGAACAGTTATATTAGCCCACAATTGGGCAAAATCATCTAACACAAAGCCTATTTTACAATAAAGTGTTGAATATTTCATGTAATTTATTGAATACTGTACTGAAAGTGAAAACTATATGGTTGTATGGTACTTGAATTATGGTTTCTACTGAATGCATATTGCTTTTGCATCACTGTAAAGCTGAAAAATCATACATGGAGCCATTGTTAGTGTAGAGTAATTGTTAGTGTAGGAAAGACCACAGTATCCTGTCTTTGAATGGCGTGTGTTTATTTTAAGCTCATGTGGTATTTTTCCAATCATATTTACGTGAAATTTTGTGAGTATGTGTCTGGAAGCACTACACCTAAGTTTAGCCAAGTAAATGAGAATTTTCCTTCTGTTGAAGTAAAGGAGCCTCAGTTTGTGCTTTGTATTGGAATCTGCCACAGGCACTGTTGGCTTCCAGTCTGCAGTGGGAAAGTAAGACTCAAAAATTTGAAGTTTTCTAACTAGTCAAATAACCTAAATGATTTTATATGGTGTCAGAGCTGTTTTAAAAAACAAGGCTCGCGAGTTAGTTTATAATTTAAGAAACAAATTCTACTTCATATAATACATTCTATAGATTAAAGGAACAATAAATGTTGTTTCATAAACTTTAAGTCATCATGCGCTTTGAGTGGATGTTACTTTCTTAAGAGATTAAACAAAAACCTTGAAATTAACATTACATCTCTCTGGAAGCTCTTCTGAATAAACATAATAAAAGAAAGAACCTGTATAAATTTAAACTTAATTAAGAACTTTTCCTCACTTTTTACTTTCTAGTGTCCTCCTCCTTATCTTATGGGGAAAGGACATTTCGACAAAACAATTACACTCCACAAAATTCCTTATTAAGTACAATTGTAATGTATGTTTATTTAGCTATGATCAGTCTAGAATATTAAAGCTATAATTTCTGGTTTCCACAGTGCCTTCAACAGATTTTCATCTGCATTATTTCTACCCTGGTCTAAGCCACCGTCATCTCTCAGTGGGTTCTCATTCTAGGTTTCTGTCTGCCTTCTCTGTTTCCACTGTCACCCCCACCCATCCTTTTCAACATAGCAATCAGAATCATAGCAATTAGGCCTAAAATGTAAACCAGATTGTGCCATTTCTCTCTTTAAAACTTCTCACTGTGCTCAGAATAAGTTCCAAATTCCTTACTTTGACCTAAAAAGCTTTATGTGATCTGGCCTACCTCTCTGATTTCATTTCCTACCACTGTCTCCTCCATAACCCCACTCCAGCACTCTTTCTGTTCCTTACATTCATTCAGACAAAGGCCTACCTAAGGTCTTCGTGTAGCTCTGGAATGTGCTGGACTTATATCTTCATATGGCTCACTTTTCGTTGTCATTCAGGTCTCATCACAACTGTTACTTTCCCTGAAGCCCTCTCTCTAAGCCCTCTATTTAATGAAGCCTGTGTCTACTTTTAACCACTCAATCACTTACACTTATTC